CTGGGTTTTGACCATCGTGAGACAGGTTTGTTTTACCCTACTGATGATGTGTTGTTGCAATAGTAATCCTGCCTAGTACGAGAGGAACCCTGGCGCTTTCAGTCATTTGAATAAAAGGAGTAAAACAGTCAGGATCTGCTGCCGTGGCCCCTTAACAGCATGTCTGTGGCTCAAACAAACCAGAAGTTTTTTGTTTATTTAAACACAGCGCTGGCCCAAAATGTTCAGACTCAGTTGAGCAACAATCACAATTTGCTCAAACTTTGATTGTTTGTGTACACTCACCGGCCACTTTATTAGTACACCTGTCCAACTGCTTGTTAACGCAAATTTCTAATCAGCCAACCACATGGCAGCAACTCAATGCATTTAGGCATGTAGACATGGTCAAGACGATCTGCTGCAGTTCAAACAGAGCATCAGAATGGGGAAGAAAGGTGATGTAAGTGACTCTGAACATGGCATGGTTGTTGGTGCCAGACGGACTGGTCTGAGTATTTCAGAAACTGCTGATCTACTGGGATTTTCACACACAACTATCTCTAGTGTTTACAGAGAATGGTCCGAAAAAGGGAAAATATCCAGGGAGCGGCAGTTCTGTGGGCGCAAATGCCTTGTTGATGCCAGAGGTCAGAGGAGAATGGCCAGACTTGGTTCAAGCTGAAAGAAATGCAACAGTAACTCAAATAACCACTCGTTACAATCGAGGTATGCAGAATAGCATCTCTGAACGCACGTCAAACCTTGAGGCAGATGGGCTACAGCAGCAGAAGACCACACCGGGTGCCACTCCTGTCAGCTGAGAACAGGAAACTGAGGCTACAATTCGCACAGGCTCACCAAAATTGGAAAAACGTTGCCTGGTCTGATGAGTCTCGATTTCTGCTGAGACATTCGGATGGTCGGGTCAGAATTTGGCTTCAACAACATGAAAGCATGGATCCATCCTGCCTTGTATCAATGGTTCAGGCTGGTGGTGTAATGGTGTGGGGGATATTTTCTTGGCACACTTTGGGCCCCTTGGTACCAGTTGAGCATCGTGTCAATGCCACAGTCTACCTGAGTATTGTTGCTGACCATATCCATCCTTTTATGACCACAGTGTACCCATCTTCTGATGGCTACTTCCAGTAGGATAACGTGCCATGTCATAAAGTGCGAATCATGGTTTAGTTTCAGACTGGTTTCTTGAACATGACAATAAGTTCACTGTACTCCAATGGCCTCCACAGTCACCACATCTCAATCCAATAGAGCACCTTTGGGATGTGGTGGAACGGGAGATTTACATCATGAATGTGCAGCCGACAAATCTGCAGCAACCGCGTGTTGCTATCATGTCAATATGGAGCAAAATCTCTGAGGCATGTTTCCAGTACCTTGTTGAATCTATGCCATGAAGGATTAAGGCAGTTCTGAAGGCAAAAGGGGGTCCAACCCGGTACTAGCAAGGTGTACCGAATAAAGTGGCTGGTGAGTGTATATAAAGTAAGCCAGTGTAGATCTCTTTAACCTCAGGGAAGCTCAGCATCTTTAAAAATCCCTCCAGGGACTTCTTTCTGGATATTTTTTTAGAAGAATGTACTCCTTTGCGGAAGAAGACTGGGCTGATTGTTTGTTTGAATAGGATTTATTTCATGCATATTTCATTCGATCAAAGCACTTTTGGGCCTCCAGCAACAGTGGGTTTTTTTGTTCTTGGCTTAGTTTTAGATTCTTTCTCTGCTTTTAAAAAATGTCTCTGCCACAGACACTGTAATTCATTTATGCTGTAGCCTGAAGGCAACAACATAGACAGGATTTGATTTCTTTTTGCAACTCCACATGGTGTGTGAATGTCAAAGCCTGCAATTTGTTTACATGTGAAATAAGTTTCTAAGTAATCCAAACTAACAAATATACATAAGCAGGTTTTAAAATTATTACCAGCTGATAAGCTACAGGGCTGCGAGGTGGCTTGATGGTTACCACGGTTGCCTCGCAGCTAGAATGTCGCCGGTTAGCGTTCCAGTGAGGACACCTGAGATCTTTCTGTGTGGAGTTTGCATGTTCTCCCCGTGCAGCGTGAGTTCTCTCCGGGTGCTCTGGCTTCCTCCCACAGTCCAAAAACATGTTGAGGTTATTTGGTGATTTTAATTGTCCGTAGGTGTGAGTATGAGTGTGCTTGGTTCTCTGTCTCTAAGTGTAGCCCTTTGATAGACTGGCGACCTGTCCAGGGTGTCCCCTGCCTTCGCCCTGAGTCGGCTGGGATAGACTCCAGTCCCCCTCAACCCTAGTGAGGGTTAAGCGGTGCATAGATAATGGATGGATGGGATGATGAGCTACAAATATGCTAAATCAAAAGTTGATAAACATCTTTCAAAAACCCTTTTACTTTTATTACAATAGAATACACCATGTGGACATTAAAGGCATTTAAAAACTCTTTAAATATTTACTTTCCCCGCAGAAAACCCCAAAAAACATTTACTATCATGAAAAAAGAAAAAACTAATCTCATTAGGCAAATATGCCAATAAAATGTTTGAATGAACACCACTATGTCTTTTTTAATGATTATTTCCCAAAGACGTATTCTGTACTTTAATGGCAACAAATAGTTTTAACAATTTTGACCATCTTGATAGTTCTGACAGTTTATGCCTGCACATTCTTTTACATCTGAAATGTCTGTGATCTTTACATGATAAGTTATTGAGCATTAAATAGGTGTTTATATATAATTTGACACACATTTGCCCAAAACAGCTGCTGCATAAAGCGGTTAAGGTCTTACATGTTTTCATATCGTTTTATTCTGTTGATTGCTAATGTGCCACTCATGGAATTTATAGTTACTGATATTTATTGTAAAATCTGTTATTATTTGGTGTTTTTAATTGTACTTTTATGGTGATCATGCACTAGCTTTGGACATTTTTAAATGTCATGCTTTACAACAGAAATGCACAAGCAGTTGACAGTTTTATGTGACATAACTGTGTTTAAATCTGTATTTTCACCAGGCTGATTCAAAGCTGAGGGAAGAGGAGAAACGTGCACTGCGATACTTGGAAACAAGACGCGACTGTAACTCTGTACAAGCAGTGAGTACTAGAGAGCGTGGAACTTCTTATTGTCTTGGCAAGTTTGCGGTTGGATCAGTTAGAAATTCAGTTAAATCACTTTTTTTCGTCATAGATATAGTTTGCCAGTTTGTATGTTTACATACCGATTTCTTAAGTCTCCACTTTTTTATTTTCTTTAAACTTGATCACATTTTTAAGCTTTTCTTTGTAATTTGTAAAATTTAATTTTCATAAGAGCTGAACTAACTACCAGTGTTCCTAGTTATCCTATTTCACAACGTTACATCCATATTTGTACACATAAAGCACATGTTTACCCTTCTTTTTTAGTAAAATCATTGAAAATTTGTAAGAGGTGTTTCCTATGAAACAAATACATTTATTATCTTGAAAAATTGTGTGTGTCCTTGGTTAGAGGAGAATATTGTAATTAAACAGTTAGACCAAGTAACTTCCAATAAAACCACAACCTGGCTTATTTTTGTCTTTTTTCAACATATTAGTGACAAATCAGCAGTTTTTTTTTTGTTGTTGTTTTTTTTCACTTGGACAGAGCCAGGCTAGCTGTTTCCCTTTACTTTAAGTCTTTATGCTAAGCTAGGCTAAAGACTTCCAGACTTTAATTTCCTACTTAACTCACATGAGACTAATGTTGATCTTCTCATCTCGCTCTCAGAACAAAAATGCTGAATGATAGTCCCGAAATGTTGAACTATTCCTTTGAAAGACAATACACACTGTATTTTTAATGAGTGATTTTTCTCTCTGTCTGTCTTCCCAGTTAATGGAGTGTTGTGTCAATGCACTAGTAACGTCATTCAAGGAGACCATCTTAGCCGAGTGTCCAGGCATGATCAAACGAAATGAGACAGAGAGTGAGTACGGCAGGACTGCTCCCACCAAAGGCTCAGCCAGCTCAGGTTTGCACCAGGAGATAGCCCTGACCAAACCTCCCTGTCCAGCATCTGTAGAACGTACGTCTATGTTGCCACCACTGCTATGAAATAAGGGAAGTCATTCGATATCCATTTTATGAGCTGACAAGGTTTGCTAATCTCTCAGAAATCGGACTCAGTAAGAGGTTTTCACGGAGGGACAGCTGTGGGTTGGGTGTCAGTCATTGTAGTTTCATTTGCTGATTTGACCCGTGTATCATCGAGTCCAGCAGCTGCATCAGTGGTTAGGAAACCTCTGCCCATGGAAGCATTTAAGGTACTTCAACCCCTTCAGCTCCAAAGCTGTAGTGTACATCAAAAAGGGTACTTTGTCCGTGAGTCAAAAATGGCAAACGGTAAATGGACTTATATAGCACTTTTCTACCTTCGCGGGACTCAAAGCACTTTACAATGTTTTCTCATTCACCCATTCACACACACACTCATACACCAATGACAACAGAGCTGCCATGCAAGGCACTAGCCTGCCATTGGGAGCAACGTCGGGTTCAGGGTCTTGCCCAAGGACACTTCAACTGCGGAACTGCCAACCTTACCATCAGAGGACAACCGCTCTACCACCTGAGCCACAGCCGCCCTATAACTTTTTCAAATCTGAAGTCATGGACGTGAAACCTGTATTTTTAGATTCAGAGTGACCTCAGATGCGTATTGTGAATTATGTCCATAAACTGCTTTGAAATCCTGGAAAAAAGATCCTCCTCATGACCTTAAAACTGCAGAGAATCATCACAATATTTATGTTTTCTTCAGTATTTAAGTGAACCAGTGATAGTTGTCTGTATACTGATGGGTACAATGGAGAAAAGAGCTGCTATTAGCTGTTTCAGCACACTGTAAATGGTGCCAGTTTACACAAATGTAAACAAATATATGTGTCTACAAAAAAGTTGACTCTAAAAAAGACATGCTAATGAAACAAATGTTGCTCTTTTATATCTTAAATGCTATAATCACTTTCCTAGAGCTGATACCATAATGTCACAATGGTTTGAAAGCACACAACCTGTGTGCTTTCAAACCATGTGTAAGAAGTGCCGAAGTTGTTTAGAGAGGGAACATCTTATGAAAGTCTTTTGTGGAGGAGATTAAAACCAGAAATAAGAATTCAAATTGATGTTACTCAAAACTGAATTTGATTTTTGGTCATTCTAACAATCTTTAAAATTGACTTTCTTTGACACGTTTACCTACAGATGTATCAATATATCAAATATTAATGCGCATAAACCGCAAACCCTGTTTCTCTAAAGTGACTGAATAGGATTTAGCTTGATATAATGATTTTATAAATTGAATTTGACCAAAAAGTACTGAGGTTTGATATTTTTCAGTACTGGAATCTCATCATATTTGCTTTTTGTCCAACTTTTTCTGTCCTCAAACTGTAGTTTAGTTTAAACGAGCACATCTCAGATGCTTAAAATCCACTCAGATATCCTAAAATAAGCTTAAGCAACATTGTTATTTCAGAGTCTGTCCATCATTTTAATGTAAAGCACAGTTAGAAATTATCTTAAGTGAACATTTAAGTTGGAAAAAAATGAGACCTCTGCTCAGTTTCTGGCCTGCATTAACCACCCATCAGTATTTGTAATGCATTTGTGTGCTCATGCAGTTTGATTTAACAATAAACGAAGGCCATCCACAGTAATGGATTTTAAAGCAGCCTAGTATTCAATAGCCTGACTGGTTGCTTACACTGCTTTTGCTAAACTGTGAAACAAATCTGGTACCACATTCCCCTTGGAGTTCATGGTTATTATTATTACGATTTGAGATACATAGCGTATTGATTTAAGGGCTTATGATCAATCTGCACAGTAAATAAGTGGTCAGTTTAAATGCTGGACTCCCCCTTAACTCAGAATCACAGTTAATCCAGAAAGTTCTAATGTTGCTTTTTCCTTCCATCACAGAGTTGCATCTGATGTTTTCCCTGATGGACAAAGTGCCCAGCGGCATCGAGCCCATGCTGAAGGACCTGGAGGAGCACATCATGAGCGCCGGCCTGGCCGACATGGTGGCCTCAGCAGAGACGATCACATCTGTGAGTTACACACACACACACACACACACAGATGCAGGTTACTCCAGGTCTTGTTTTCAATGTTTTGGGCCACATTGAACCCAAGAGATGTAGTAACATGGCATCATCACTGTTGTAAATATTCAACACGTAGTAGTAAGTGTAGTAAGATAGTAGTAAAGTTATCATTATCTAACCAGTGAGCTTTACTCCTGCAGAATTTTGCTTACATTTATTGCAACTGTTTAACCATGATTTTTTTTTTGCATTAGCAGAGCTCGAGACTGGGACCGTTTTGGTCGTACTATTTTTTTTTAGTCCCGACTATTTTTTGAGAGTGTGCAAGTTAAAATTTTAACTGGTCGCATTCGTGCGAGTGAATGATGATCATTAAGCTGTTTTGTTGTCTCTGTGACCAGCGCAGGTAGCTACTGTGGTCACCACAGTGGTGGAAAGCAGCACTTTCATAACTTTGGTGGATTGTGGTATTTACACTTAAAAATGTGATCTTCTCATGAAATGCAGAGCACATCTGCATTTGCTGTTATCTATGAGCAGAACAGAGCATGTCGGTGCGCTCCACATTATGCAGAAAAAATTACTGTTTCATTTCGGACACATCTGACACTAGAGTGCCCCAGTTTAACTCTTTTCAAAGTATTTTTCAGTCACGCCTGTCTGAGCACACCGCGCTCACCAAGCAACAGCTACCACAGCCTGCAATGTGTTGCGTTTAGGGAACATCTGTAAGTTGTAGCGTCTATTGATAAGCAGATGTTCAACAAGTGATGTGTTTTGCCTGTGACCAGGTGGGAGGTGCGAACAGTGAAAAAGTTAGTTTGGAGCCCTGATTAGCTGTTTTTTTTTTTTTTTTTCTAAATGTAGCATCACTTATATGTACTTTAACATACTGTTCAATCATTTTCAGCCAATCATTATCAATTATTTTAAATGTGTTTTAGTTACTTTAAATTAGCTGTTGTGTGTTTTAATCATGATTTTGTTTTTTATCTAATTCATGCTCCAGCACATGTTTATAGTCAATAACACAGTGTGCTGCAAATTGTATAACATGCAAAATTAGCTATTAAAGACCCTCTCTGATGAAAATCAAGTTTTTACCTTGTTGATGTCCACATGGTGTTTTTTTAAAAAATATGTTTGAGGACACATCATGAGGTTTAGAGGAAGCACATTGTAGAGTAAGCCATTTAAAGCAATGAGTTTTCCTGAGAGAAAAGTTCCAAATATGTCATTTTCATAAACAGACATGAGTTTTTAGGGGTTTAATCAATGACTGGAGAGTGACTTTAACAGTTGCTGAAATTTATCTGTTTTTTTTTTTGTTTTTTTTAAAGTTTTCTTTATGATAAATTCATTGTTGGCTGTCACTACGTCCAGCTGTAAATCACAAAATGAAAATGTTAAAAGCTAACTCAATGAGATTAATCTTTCAAAATGTCTGTTCTGTTTACACATGTCAAGACTTTCAACATGACATATTCCAATGTAAAAAAAAATGATGTTCAAGTTCATGTTCAGTCCATTAAATTATGGAGCACCATCACCTCCGACCTGAGGCTTTCTTCATTATTATGGAATACAAAATACAAATGCAGTGTGCTTTTGTAATTTCTATGTTCCATCTTTCTTTGTCTTTTACCATTTAAAATGGGTATTTAGGCTGTGTGTTTTTTTTGGTTTTGTTAACCTTAGAGATTGAAATGCCATCTACTAAAAGACAAACATCTGGGCCTGTTTTGATGACTATTGACTGTGATGAGTATTATTGTTTATATCACTAATGCTTGGATTTTGATATTCAGAGTGACCGGCTTTCAACTGCTACTGATGCAAACTAAATGACTAAGCTGATAGTTTCAGAACCAAAGGTGCCAATATGTAGGACATTCCATTGATTTGACAAAGTAATGTCAACTGGAGGTCCTCTTTAACCTTAACTCCAGGTCCACCTTCATAAAAGATTATTTAAGTCTGGTTGCCCCACCTGTTCTTTGTCACAGGACTCAGAGAAATATGTGGAGCAGCTGCTCACCTTGTTTAACCGCTTCAGTCGGCTGGTGAAAGAGGCCTTTCAGGACGACCCACGTTTCCTGACAGCAAGAGACAAAGTGAGTTCTGCTAACTTGTCCATTATTAACAGTGCAGCTGACAGAACATGCTCTTAACTATTTTTTAAATCTTTTTGCAGGCATATAAAGCTGTTGTCAATGATGCCACTATATTTAAATTAGAGCTTCCCATGAAACAGAAAGGGTAAGACGAGCTGCCTGCATGAAATTTAGCCTTTGCTCTGTATGATTAAGGGCAGAAATGTCTGACTGCACTCGTCTCTGCTTACCTACGTTTACAGGGTTGGATTGAAAACTCAGCCAGAGTCCAAGTGTCCGGAGCTGCTAGCCAATTACTGCGACATGCTCCTGAGGAAGACCCCACTAAGCAAGAAGCTCACCTCTGAGGAGATTGAGGCCAAGCTCAAGGAAGTGGTTAGTTTTGTGGTTCTTAACCCTGTCTTCATTATTGGATTTAGTATACAATTTCAAGTTTTTCTTATTTAGTTATGTACAATGACCTTTCAAAGTCTGCTACAAGTCTTCAGGTAAAGTAGTAAAAAGCTAAACTTCTTGATGACTATTAACACTTTAAATACACTGACATAATCACAGTGATGTATTGTAGAAAACGCTCAACAAATGAAGAGAAAGTCATGTAGCTGTCTGGATAGTGTTGCACCAATCCAACGTTATTTTAAACTGAATTACACAGCTTGAACAACTGAAAAAGGAAAAAGAACTGAAAAAAGTCAAATTATAATTTAGTGAGATAAGACATTGCTTTTGAATTGCGGTTGAAAAGAATAATTTAAAAAACAAACAAACAAAACTATCCCGGACAAATTAGAGCACTTTGCTGATGAGCAGTGGGCCAAAATCCAAATACCTGTCAACAGGTGCAGAAGTCTGATTGAGAGTTACAGAAAACACTTGACTGCAGTGATTGGCTCAAAGGGTTGTTCAACAAAATAGTAGTTTATGGGTCCCATCACGCCTGTTTGCTTGTTTTTTGTTTGTTTGTTTTTAAAAAATATTTCTGTTAAACCACAATTCAAAAGCAATGTCATGATTTTCATTAAATTATTATTTACTATTACTTTTGTCAATTTCAACATATTTCAGTGACACCTGTTTTTTCCATTTTGCAACTCCAAAAATGTTGCAGTATGTTTGATTTCAAAAATATGAATTTAGCTTTTCCAACAAGACATAGCAGACTTCTGTTCAAAGTCAGCAGTGGATAACTAACTGAAACATTTTCTCCTGTGTTTGCTCTTTGCAGCTTTTAGTGCTGAAGTACGTCCAGAACAAAGATGTGTTTATGCGCTACCACAAAGCCCATCTGACCCGTCGGCTCATCCTCGACATCTCAGCCGACAGCGAGATAGAGGAGAACATGGTGGAGTGGCTCAGGGTAGGAACTGGGTGGATGGCTGTAATTCTTTCTTATTAATAATATCAAGAGTGTTTTTGTTAATTTCATACCATACTCTATTCACCAACTGCCTTTATCAGAGTAACGTCTTGGGCTGTTTTCCTTTACATTTACCAGCGCAAATATAGAAAAACATTGCAATCAGTCACTTCTAGCAAATGTCTGCATACACGATTAACAAAATCATTATAATCAAGTTATTTCTTATAAAAAGGAGCATCAGATGTCACTCAACATTTGGTAAATAATAAATTGTGGTGTACTGGAAAAGAGTTGTGCGATGTGTTTTGATTTTCAAAAACAATAAAAGATGCAGTTTTCATCATCTTACTGTATCCACCTGTGATGCCAATTATCTTAACAGGAAGTAGGAATGCCGGCTGATTATGTCAACAAGCTGGCGAGGATGTTTCAGGACATTAAGGTGTCAGAGGACCTCAACCAGTCGTTCAAAGAAATGCATAAACACAACAAGCTCGCTTTACCAGGTAAACACACATCCAACACATTTGAGCAGCTGCAGTAAGTCCATATTTGATAGTTTTTATTTAATTTATTAACTTAAATGATAGAATAATTTGACATTTTGGGACAAACACGTATTTACTCCTTGCTGAAAGTCAGATTAGAAGGTTGGAATCTGTGCACTTAACATAAAGCAGGATCATCAGCTGCTTCGCTTAGCTTTGCATTGAGACTGTAAAAACAGGAGATGATAGATATCCTCACTTTATGATTTGAGTGTAAAATGATAACTATTGAGCTCTAAATGCTTTGTTGTTAGGATTCTACCTTAAGATAAGAGTTTCAAAAAGCTGATACATAAATAAGCTGATTGCCATACAGCTAGTTGGCTACAACTTTGATAATCAATGAAATCATGTATCAAAAAACTCTAAAATCTTGCTGAGTTGAGATTTTTAGACATTAGGATTTGCCATTTTTCTTGCTGTTTTTACCCATTTTTTATTCACGTTAAACTAAATAAAGTAAATCTTTGAATTCTGTGCTTTTGAGTCACAACTCATTATTTTTACTCTCACTTTGTTTTTGTTTTGACATAAAATGCACAAAAATGTCTTTACGTTCAGCTAACTGGCTGCTGATTCCAACTGTCATGTTTAACATATAGATGTAAGCGTGCTGCTGAGCTTTCCCTCTAATTATTGGTAAGATATCAAATAAGTAAGTGTATTTCCTAAAATGTCGATCTATTTCTTTAATTCAGCCATGCAATTAGCAATTTCCCTGAGGTCTTGTACCGAAGGGATTAATAAAGTTTTATTCTAATTTTTATTCTAATT